TCAACAAAATGAATTCTAGTCAGTTTTATAACCAAAAATGATTCTTTTCTTTTAACATCGGCATTCTTGTCCTTACAGTTGTCTACGGCCTTAGTAACAGAATATAAATTTGAAATAAAAATGTTGGCACAGATCATTTTGTGACCAAAAGTTATCAAATATCAAACTGAATTAGACTTACAGACATACCGCAATGTTACACAACAGCAATGGAATCGATTCATATAATTTTATGAATTTATTCACATTTTAAGCATTTATAATCGATTAATAACGACTTTTTAATTATTCTCTACCTTTGAGCAATCACCATCATTACCATTTTCAGCTCTGTTTTCCTTCGTATTTTTCAGCCCTGATGTCTCTTGCTGAGCTTCTTATTTAACACAAGTAATGTGTTTTGTGAAAACACTTTAATTTGCCTCAGCGTATAATCTGCGTGACACATGAATAAAAATTGCCTTGCCACTTACAGAGGAAAAAAAACAATTTTACTCCCACTACATACCCTCGTCTTTCATATATGGGCTGTGTGCACAATAATCCTCTTACTGAGATCAGACAGAAAGTTATCAAAGCAAATTACCAGTTTTTAATTATCTATTGTGACACTGATGATTATGGTGCAGTGACAAGAAATCTGACGAGAACCATTTGACCACACACGGGAAGGATTTCTGGGTTCACGCTGCGACGGCACTGACCTGCGGCGTCCCGCCCTGCTTCCTGTTCGTGGCCGTGGTGGTCGTGATGTCGCTGATGGAGGGGGCGGAGTCGGAGCGGTTGCCTCCGGTCGCGGCGCCGGACTGCGGGGTGATGGAGGAGGACGGCATGTCGCCGACCAGCCGGGCGCTGCCCTCCACTCTGATGTGCGGGTGGCCCTCGGCGGCCATGTTGAGGATGCGGAGGCCGTTGTAGTAAAGGCCGGACAGCTGCCCCTGGAACATGGGCGCGCCCTTTTCGCCTCCGCCGACGTGCACCGTCGTCTGGCTGTTGAAGATGGTCAGCTGGCGGCCTACGCAAACACACGCACCAAACAAACACACCGCACGGAATAGAAAAGTGGACACGCACACACACACACACACACACGCACACAGAGACACCCACACACACAAGAGTGTTTGAGTGTTACACAATCCACCCCCCTAATGCACGGTGAGAGGATGGGATAGATTAAGCATGGCAGAGCAAATCGAAGCCGTGGAGAACCGTGGAGGAGACTGAGGGAGATAAGAGCGGGAGAAGAGGCAGAGAACAGAAATAAAGGAGGAGAAGAAGAAGGAGKCAGTGGATAAGAGGAGTCAGAGGGCCCTGAGAAGACGGGGCTGACAGATGGTGGCTATGGTGATGGCTTTGCAGCACAACATTGTATCTGAAGGAGCAACAGACAGGCAGACAGAGAGACAGAGATCTAGAAAACTGTTGTCACAGCCCTATAAAGCATGCACTGGTTATAAGCTCTAGCACTGCTCACTGTTAAAGGGACTAGAGGCTAATTTAAGCTCTATTGAAGTTTAGGAGGAAAACTTTTACATAGTTTTTTTTCAAAAAGTATTGCTCTTTTAATTCAAATTTACATAATTTTTCTTTACATGTCACAATACTTTGCATGTACTTTAATCTGATTACAAGTTTTTCAATATAAATACATAAATGATCTTTAATAAATGCTTTATTATTTACAATTTGATGATAAATTTAATTTACCAGACTTAATAAAGCATCTTTTATCAGTACTTTTTTTTCTATTTTCCGATTTATTCACATTTAAATCTCTCCATCGTCCCTTTAACCTGATATTATCAGATACACACTAACAAGATACGTTCACAGGCACTAGAGTTTACACAGTATTACACACTACAGCTGCCCAACTTTTAATTACTTAGTTATGGATTTAGATTATTTAATGTTAGTTGATGGTGCACAATATATAAAACTGTCTTCAAGTTGTATTTTTAAGCTCAAAGTTTTAAGGAATTTTAATCAGGGTTTTTACCTTTGTCGAGTAGCCATTCGTCAACTACTCGACCGAGCCGATAGGGGATTCGCTGTCTGGCGAGGGCCAGGCGCTCGTTATCATTGTTGCCTTTAATTTAGAGATGAAAACACAGTAGTAATTACGCACATCCATACGTGGTACAGGAGCTGGATACACAAAGAACAGCAATGAAAAGAAAGTAATGGTCTGCTCATTGTTTGCATGTGGCTGCGTTAAGGTAAACTTGTTTTTCCACGAGGAGAGAAGTTGCATTGACTACGTTTCCAGTGAGCGGACTCTTACTCTCTGTTCATTGGGCTTTATTTAAAAAAACATTTCAGGGGTTAACATCTGCAAGAGCACAGGGAAATAACGTTACAGCTGTCACATTCYGAATCTGACTGAGTTTAGAGTTACATACAGGAATAACCCTCACACACACCTCACAACAACTACCATTTATCATTTTTAACTACTTGAGTTTACCACTTTTAAATATAAAACAAACAAATATGTAAAAACAAAGACTATATTCAACATAGTACACTGTTTTCTTATTTTTTTCCTCTCTAGTTAAACATTTATCTCAAAATATGGCAAGCTTTTTAAATTATTATTTTTCAAAAATTGCACCAACTATTATTATTAACTTTTATGTGAGGAAAAATAACTAACACCTGAATTTACTATTTACAGAAAATTACCTTTAACACTATTTAACAGGCCTAGCATAATACAGCTGGCTAGTATACATTGCTATTGTAATTGCTAACTCATTTTATGGTTTAAAAAGTCATATTTCATGTCAGATCAAACATATTTCATTGCAAAAAACAATAACATAAAAACATAGTTGTAAATATATTTTACATCGTCAATGAAATAAACATGGAAAGAACATTTTTTTWAAATTTCATCAATCAGGAGGAGGTGGCTGGGTTTGGACTGAGGTGTAGTTCGCCTCAGAACAGGCAGTGGCGGCATGAGTCAGTAGGGTGGGGTTATATGGGTGGGGCAGGGCCTACCTGAGGGGTACCGCTCTATGACCGGCAGGTCGTCCAGTTGGAGGGTCGCATTGCCACCGCTTCGGGTGAAGCGAACTATGTGGTACTTCCCATCATTGACAAACTTGGAGCTCTCCTCGATGTTGATATCATCGGTGCCAACATTGAACACCACTCTAATGTTGCCCTTGTCCTGAGGAGGAGACAAACAACGGTGTTTCATCAGAAATGTGTAAATTCTTTCCTGTTTTTCCATTTTTAATGCACTTAAGACTGTGGTGAGCACGGTTCCACTCATCTGCTAACCCGCCACYAACGGATGTAATATTTTGAACAGTTTAGCACATGAATCAACTTTGTAAATAATTAACGGACCTACTACAATCGTTTTGTTTTTTGCAGCCAATAATTTAAAAATTCACATTACGAAAGTCTTATTAAATTCAATAATATTTCCTTTCACACGCAACAGAAACATGCATAATGAGGTTCTGCTGAGCAAAACTACACAGCCATGTTTTAATTTCATTGTAATTAGGGATCCACCGATATGAAAATTTCAGCTGATTTCGATATCCGATATTATTATTGGTGTTATGGCTGATAAACTGATATTTACTGATATGACACAAACACAGAAATTATTGGTAACACTTTCTTTTATGGTACCCTTATTACCATGTAATTACAAGGTAATAAAAAATGTAATTAAATGTAATTACTACCTTATTACCAAGTAATTACACGGTAATTATGGTACAAAATAAAAACTACTACTCTTATTGGGTAACTACAATCAAATTACTATTCAATACTAACTCAACACTATATTTATAACCAAAAKAATGCAACTAAATTTTGGGGTTAGTGGTTAATTGTAATAAAATATAACTTTAAAACTGTCCAAATTACCTACTACTTATTTAGGTGTTACATASTGAATTGTAATACATTACCAGGTAAGTGCTACATTACTGCAGACAATTAATTACATAGTAAAATTGTACCCTAATTACCACATAATTACATGGTAATAAGATAGTAATTACATGTAATTACAATTTTTATTACCTTGTAATTACATGGTAAGGTAATAAGGGTACCGTAAAAGAAAGCATTACCAAATTATTCATATACATATAAGCACAAACACACTTGTCTTTTTTTGATACTGTAAAACAATGACCAGACTGCTGACATGGCTCTACTTCAGTTATTCCAGGCTGCGCAGCATTAATTTCACTATCATGATCAAACAGATACCCCTCGACCAAACATGTCCCCTCAAAAAAATAAAATAAATAAATAAAAATAAAAATAAAAAAAGTGGGAAATCAATATCGGACATAAATATTAGCCCAGCTTGATATTGTAAAAAAAATAACCAATATTGCCTGATATTGATGTATTGCCTGATATGTATGTATCGTGCATCCCTAATTGTAATGTGAATTATGAGCAAACTTTTAAAATGTTGCAAAAAATAAAAATAATAAAAATAAAAAACTTAGATGTGTTTCTACTACTGGTTCGGAGCGAATCAACAAGGCTGTGCCAAGTGTAATTTCATCAGACAATGACGTTATCCACGGCTGTAATAAACAGAAAATATGGGTAGCAAATTAACAAGAATCACACATCTTAGGACAATGGAGAGAAGTTTTCAGGAATGTGTTCAGGCTAGTTGTAAACGTTCTGTCATATCAAATAGTACTGATGATGTTACATGCTGTCCAGAGATGTAGAGAGACAAATGCAATTCTSTTTGCGTTACGGGAACATCTGGAAAGACGCAGACCACAAAAAACAGCTGATCAGCTGGCCATCTCCCTTTTGTTTTATGTCTTTTGCTCATTTACTTTTTTCAGAAAATCCAAAAATTGCCTCAAGTGAGCGTAAAAACTTTTTCGCAACATCGAGAATGTTTTTTTGAATTTTGCCACTTCCTTTAACCTTTCCTAACGCAATACTTCAAAATGCACATAAAAAAAATCTTATACGTAAAACACAGCTACTGTCTGGAGCCCTTCAGTGACATTGTCCTCAAGACAAGGACAGTTCTTCTGTTATTTAGAGTTTCCTCTTTTATACACACACACACCAGATCTTCTGACTCACGGTTYCAGTTTTCAGTTTTCCCAGCATCCTTTGCAGTTGGGACCTCATTCCATCAATGAGAACACTTTGCAAGTTTGTTGCAAAATTAAAACAAYGAAACAAAAGACTCACATCTTCGTTTTAATCTGGGGCATCCAAATATTTGTATTTTCAGTGTTTAAAAATAAATTATCAGAAACATGACTTTTAAGGCTGTAATTTTCATAATTATGTAGTTGTTTAGATGTGAGTGAAGCAAAGGTTAGATGTGCCCACCACTGGATACCAACAAAAAATACAAATTGTTCAGTTTGCCTGTGATTCAAGAGAAAAATTTTTTTTACCATTTGAAAAACTGACTGATTTGCTTATTAACATGAGTGAGAATATATAAAGTTGTGTACTGAAACATTTCTAAAACGTGATTACTAATAGTGATGATAATTTTAGCCTGTGAGAATGCCTGTCTCTTGTCAAGTACCTATTTGTGCAACATTTTCCATAATTGCCAATAAATAAATGTGCCTGTTGTGACTGAAAAACACGCAAGAGCTCTGAAACTCGGTTGATTAATGAGWCTGTCAAACAGCTCAAATGCAAAAACATGAGTGAGTGGCGCTCAGCTGCTTTGTTTGTTCCTGTTTTCCCATAATGAGCAAATAAGAAGGATCAAACATCAAGCATTGCGGTGGCAATCATGGGCTGAAAGAAGTAATGCCAGTAATGAACCAATTAACTCAAGGAATGCGAGYATGTAGGAGCGCTGAACAAAAATCAGACGTACATATTTGTTATCCACCTATAAAATTATGTAAAATGAAATATTCATTTTAATTACAGAGGATGCAACAAATCAATTTATTTATTTATTCATTTATTTATTTATTTTCTGTCACAGTACAGTGATGGTATAGACTTACTACTTGGAGCTGTAGGTAGTCCCCAAGACCAGACGCACTGTCCACTCGGAGCAGGACAGCGTGTTTCTGTTGGGTGCTGAAGCCGAGGGCGAGTCGGTCCGCCCTGGTGCTCGGACGTTCATTGGGGGGCCACGTATAAACCACCACGCCTCCATCACGACCAAAGATATAGGTAGTCCCAGCTGGGCAACGCAGACAAATAAACTCAAAATCGGACATCTCTTTATCTCATATTAGCCTCAGTTATCAGGCTTTGGATGCTTCTGGTGCTTATTTTGTTTTTTGAAAGAAAAAAAAAAGCTTTCGCAAATGGTGAGCATTTGGCAAAATAAAACTGTGGCTTAAACTTTAAATGTCAAAGCTAAACTGTTCCTCCCACAGGCTTAAAAAGAAAATCTGTGTTTTCCAAGTTATTGCTGGAGGCTGACGTGACTCATACAAAAACCAACTCATGCATTTGTTTGACTAACGGGCTGATAAAAACCATTTTACATCATGTCTAAATGGGACTATGGAGAATATTTCCACATTTAAAGAAAATCACATAAATATTGTTTTTACCCGAGCCTAGAAAAACTGCATATTTGAAGATCTTATCTAGGTGTGCCTGTGCAGAAATAGTTCACAGTGCCCTCCTGTGGTCACTCCAACACATACACGTGCTGAAAATCCTAAATATTGTGTTGGAAACTTAATGATCCAAGGGTTGTAGTTTAATATCTGCAGATTAAAACAAGTCTGAATTCATCTTGTTGTGTTTTTATTACAATCTAGAGATGATCAAGGAGAGGAGAAATAGAATGTCATCAAATATTTTAGAAGATACAATTTTTTTTTGTTTATGATGCTTTTRCTAAGAGACAAACAAAATCCAAATATGGCAAAATTTGGCCACTCAAATGTTAACAGGTAAAAAAACAGGTGTATAATACACAGTATTTCTTATATGTTAATAACAGTCTGCACTGTTAGCAAAACCTTCTATAGTCCCTCCCACTGTAGTCTGAGGGCAAATAAAGGAAAATGCTCACCATCGTTGCACAGCGGTCCGGCATATGAGGTCATGCTGCAGTCACAGGTAAAGCCCTCCCACTGCTGCAAACAAACGCCCTGATTTGAGCAGGAATCTTCCTGACATGTTGTGCTGGGACCTGCAGTGACATGAAGTGGAATGTTATAAACCTTTGGAAAAAAGAATAATAATAATAAAAAAAACACTCTATTTCATGTTTTCACTGTCACCCAGTGTGAATTATGGGGTTATCCTTAATAAATATAAGCTGTAAGGTTACGATTAGTCGTCCTGACTAAGATGCTATCGATCAGTTCCTGCACTGGAGCTCACAGGAATAGGAGAAATTATCCAGTAAACAAAAATAACCCAATCTGGAGTGTTATCAGGTAAAAGAAGAGGGAAATGTGGTTAGCATACATGTTCAGATGAGTGGGGCAGAAGCGGGAGGAGCACTCAAACATAACAGGGGTTATGTTTATATCTCAATACTCGTTCTCCATCATTCTGTCGGCTTTCTCTTCCTGCCTCATGTTACAACCACACAAGAAGAGAAACCTCTAAAATTAGCTCCAACATGAAGCGCGGAGGAAAGGGTGTGAAATGATTCACCGGAGGAGTATTGGAAGTTTTGGTTGGGAGTCATTAGGAGAGGTTAGATAACATGCAGTTAAAGAAGGTGGAGAGGCGTTCAACTAAAGTCAAGCAGTGGTAATAATGTCTTTAATAGGACTGAATCACTAGAATCGCAYACAGGATAAATCAACTCCGACCTTTGACTTTGGATCACTGGGATCCACACAAACACTGAACACCACGGGGTTTTTCCAACACTCTCGCACACATTTCTGCACCCTCACACACACACGTCTCACATGCTCACACAAAGCAATATACCTTGCAAGTCAGCTTTCATCAATGAAACTTTTGTCAGCCAAACGACCAAAATAAAAAAAAGCAAACAAGTAAAATAAGTTAGATGGTTAGTTAATGCACAGGGATGTGTGTGAACTGCTGAACGAGTGGAGCTGAGAGAGAGAGAGAGAGAGAGAGAGAGAGAGAGAGAGAGAGAGAGAGAGAGAGAGAGAGAGAGCACAGAAAGAACGAGGACAGGATGAAAAGACTGAAAGAAAACGTTGAATCTAATGAAGCAAAAGCTGGGTTAGTGGGTTATCCTAACAGTGGAGAGTGTGAGTTGAACATAAATGGAAACGAAAATAAAAACTGAAGGTGGGACGGGCTTGGATCAGATCTGCTGATGTCTTGGTACCCCACCTTCGCAACCTCTCTCCACTTGGCCCATTGTTGCTAAAGCGTCCGCTAAAAGGTCCGGGAGCCGGCCGTTTAGATCAACCGTCGCCAGACAACCCTGAAATCCTTCGCGGGAGTGGACCAACTTGGGCAGCTCTCGGTACATCTCTTTGGTTACACCCCCGATGTACAAATCCCCTGTAAGACAACATGAAATTCATTCTGATTAACATGATTAAAAAACAGTTCTTATGATGATTTTTCAGCCCATGGCCTTCACATTGTTTTTTCTCATTAGCAGCGTATAACCCAAATATCACATTTTTTGCAGTTAAATTGCACTATATCTAAATAGTTGTCAGTTTGACTTCATCAATAATTGATTATTTTTGCTTTTACTCAAATTTTCCAGCACAAAATATGGCTAATTGCTTTTTAAATGAACATTTCACAACAAAATAGAAACCACTGGCATTCAAATATAGAACTAATGCTAGAAGGTACTRAGTTTAGTGCAACAAATGAAACCTAAAGGCAACAAAAAACATGTTTTAGTTCATTTACAAGAAAATAGTTAAACTCCTATCCCCCTAATAAAGTAGCTAATTTGTTCTGAGTCATTGTTTTTGTACTAATTAGAAAAGAAAGAGCTTTAGGGGGTTGTTATGTTCTTTTTTTATTTATTTCCCAAAGGTCATACCTTTTCTATAACCTACTGATAACTTTAAGACTAATAAGTAATTAATCACTCATTACCAAAGCAACCTMCCGTGGAGTACAAGCCTAGAAATAAAATATTACATTAAGAATTTTAATCTTTTTTTTTTTTTGCTTTTTTTGCGCCAAAGAATTTTAATCTTGACACAGCACAAAAAGTATGAAAAGTTGTGTTTGGTTGGTTATTAATTTAATATAATGATGCTTCTCAGGATTATATATATTCTATTCCAAAGGCTGATTATTTCTCTTAAATGGTGCCACACTTTGTGACTAAAGTAAATACTTTTGTGGGTTGTTTGTGTCCACGAAAAAGCAACAAGGTATCATTTATAAAACACTTTTTTTTTCATACCCTTTAGGTCCAGGTTCTTGGCACCCATTGTGGTCTGTGTGGTAACTTTGGTGTCGATCTTGACTGTGTGCAGGTTGTTAGTGTCTCGGGAAATGTGCACATTATGCCAGTGGTTGTCGTTGAGAGGGCTGTTCGAGTTGCCTTTGATCAAGTGTGCRCCGTTGCCCAGGTCGGAGATGTAATGAAGGTAGCTGGGGGAAGAGAAAAGGGGAAAGAAAAGGAAAGGGAAAAGAAAGGGTTAAAGAAGTGAAAAGGCAAATTAATCACTCTTGTGATGAAGAACAGCGGGGTCACACACTTCAGGGCATTATTAACTGTCTTGTACAAGCYTAATTACAAGACTTGAAAACGAGGTGCTTGGCTTGTGCATTTTTCACTTCATATGTTTAACAACCCGCTTTAACCTTGCTGTCAAGATTTTTCCTTTTTCGGGTTCTTCAAGGACAAATGTAAGTCTAATCCCACTTTCAGCATTTACAATCGTTTTCATTTCTGCTGGCCAAACATTTTATTTATTATTATGTGAACGCCGAATCGGCATTCAAACTATTTTTGCATGCATTGAGCTATGTACAGCTCATTTAGGACATTTTCTTCTAAAAATACATTTAGATCTCTTCAGTTCCTTTGGACCCTGCTTCATTTTGACTTCTTTAGCTCCTTCTTGTTTTAGCTAGCCTTTTGTCATTTTTTTGCCTTTAGCTAATCTTTAGATATGTTTAGTTTCTAGCAAGCTTTTGCTACTTTTTGYMYATGCTGCTAATGCTCTGCTTTAAARGGAGGCATTGTGTATTTTCYAGGCCCATAGTTCAATTCTACACCACAATCAAGTAATTATGWTACCTTAAGTTGTTATAAAAACACTATTTATATCAAAAACAATCCTTRAAATTGGACACTGTCTCTTTAAGAATTCCCTACCRTTTCTGACATTCCCACTTCATAGCAATGCTTCGGGGAAGGGGTGTTCTGTGGGGCAGGAGCTTGGCTGCAGGGAGGAGCTTTGGATAAATAGGYGGAGCTTTGTACCAACAAYRCTCAAAAATGTTGGTTTTGCATAATACTCTCCCCTTAAGTGTTTTGCTACTGTTAGCTTTTAATTAGCTTTTGGCTTTTTAGGTCTTAGCAAGTATTTGCTGATTTTGCCTCTTATGTTCTGCTTCTTTTAGCTTTACTTAACTCATTTATCTCTTTCAGTACAAAAGTTATTCAGCATTCACACTGCATTTTCACAAAAAAAAAATCCAATTCCTCTAGTTATAATGTRAAAAGTTAGATCCAATTTCAGAACTTTGCACAGACACAGGAAGTTCTGTAAAAATCTTGCTCAATCAATCATCCAGCTTACCCTTTAACCAACTCTACAACAATGAAGTCGTTGCCGTCTCCCCTGTTGAAGAGAATAAGACCATCGGGGGACGTCGTCTTGAACTGCATGAAGAGGTGCATTGAGTAGTAGGCCTGCAGCGTGGGCAGCGTGACGAAACTGGAGCGGGAGCGGAAGGTGATGGGGTCGGCCACGATGCTCTTATAACCGATGACGGCGTTGAGCTCGCAGTAGTCGATGTCGCCGTTCTTGCACAGATCGATGTAGGGCATGCCGTTCAGCGCCAGGCCTTGAAGGTGGCCGATGAAATTGGAGGGCACGGCGGGCATGAAGCGCTTCTCCGTCACGATGCCCGTCTCCACATTGTGGAACTCGAGCTGGGTGTGGTCACCCGCCATCTGACCTGGTGGTGGCAGGGGTGGGGGTAAACTTCAGAGGTGAGGGCTCTGAACATCGTGTTAAAGTGCAACTGTAATAGAACGCTCTAATAGCACAACAAGTGCAGTAGTTTGTAACAACAAAATAAAAAAATGTGCACACACGATGCAGAATTAGCTTCACTTGCTCAACTGCAAACGCTACGCTGCAGTGATTACCTTCAACAGGCTGCAGGTCGTCCACGGTGAGCTTGAGGCTCTTGCCACGTCGGACCACCCTCACCGTGTGCCATTCATTATCATTGAGGCCAGACCCAGCAAAGATGGTCTCAGGGCCTTTACCTACACATAGCCCAGAGCACCGTTAACACAGCACACAGAGACTTGGAGAGAAACAGAGTTGCAGAGACAGGAAAAGAAAACCAGTGGGAGAGAAAAAAGGTGGAGAGCCAGTAATAAATGAAGTTGAGGAAATGGAAGCGAGTTGCAGAAGGAATCATACATATCCTGGGGGAGACAAACACCTCCGTGCCAACGCACACAAACAGACAGACAAGACTCCTCGAAGATAAAGCAAAGAGAGACAGATGATGTGACACAGATAGACAGAAAGATTAACATAAGTGAATGCTTTGGGTGCCTAAGATGGAGACTGTGAGTCACAACAGGCCCACGCTAAAGACAATCCATCTGTGAACATCACGATGACCACCTACAACCCACACATGTACAGACTGCACACTTGCACCCTCTTGACCCCCCCAAAAAAACCCTCCAACCTCCACACGTTTTGCGTTCTTCGACGTGGAAGCAATACTTCTACTTTTTTGCCAACAAGAGCGCAATGCCACCATCAGCCTCAGGGTGGCACTAGACTCACAGAGGAGCATCAGAGCGCTCTCCAAGGTGCTGACGTGCAGCAAAATGAAGGAAGCTGTGATGTCTTTGCATGATGTCTCTCTCTCGCTCTCTCTGCCCGTCTACAACCTCATATCTTCACATACTTGACTGCACAGATTTGACAGACTGACAGCGTCCCCTTGCTCTACACTTTACAACCACCCCTCCAACCTTGAACACGACACCCTCCTAACACACTCGCACGTAGTCCCCTTCCCTCGCTAAAGTGCTTTCGGCTCTAGAACCGTGACAGAGTCTGCTTACAGTGACCTATAGGAGGTAATGACAAGTAGGGGGGGGTGCGGTGGGGCGGGGGCGCAAGAGGTGAGAAGTAAACTGACCCGAACAGATTCTGCTGCAGAAAATGTCAAGCATGTCTACATCAATCAAGGAGGCACGCAGGCAGCGACGAGCAAACACACACACACACACACACACACACACACACAGGTAGGGGCGGTGGAGAAAAGATGCTGACGCACAAACTTAATTAAACAAATATGAGAAGTCGATCAAAATGGAAGTGGCAGCGTGAAATAGACAAGCGTGTGCCGGRCGAAACTAAGAGTGTGTTGTGCATCAGGAGAGGACACAGGGTTCCCCTGAGGAGACTCAGCTGTGCTTTGGGCAAAGCATCTCATCCAGTTACCATGGATCACTGCTTAGCACTGAGCAAGGGAGGAGAATATGTGTATGCTTGTTTGACTCTGTGTGTGTGTGTGTGTGTGTTTCCACATGTAACTGAACACTCAAAGAATGAGCAGACTGATGTGAGAGCGAGGCAGTGATCTGTCTCAACCTGGGCGCAGGCAGAGACACGAAAGCAGACAAACACGCACCTATTTTAGGTTCGCGTTAAAAGGGCATCGCGCGAGATGCGCCGAGACTAACGAAGAGCCCGTTTGCACCCTGTCAGGTTTCACCAAAAAAGACAAGAGAGGCTGTTCGCTGTTCGCACACAAATCAAACCAGCTGATGATTAGGAGAGGAGGATAATGAGAACAAAGTAGGAAAAAAATGATTCATAATTCATTAGCTCTAAATAACAAACAGATAACCTCAAATCTCTGCAATAGCAAAGGTTTCTTCTTCTTCTTCCTTTTTTTWAATTGCTGAGTGGACTATTTCAGGGGCGCCTGGCTGTTAAATAATTTTTTTCCTCCCCTTTTTGAATATGATATGTATAATTTATTGCATGCACAGTGTGCCAGAAAAGTGGCTGCCTACTGAAATCTTCATTGAGACAACCGATCTAAAATTGGCCAGCCGACGTTGGGAATAGCAACAGCGCTGTGTGGCTAGCAGGGGTTTCTATGGCAACTGCAGCCGTCCATTTCACCACCTCCTTGCCGTCACCGAGCGTTCGCCCCTCTCTCCGTCTCCCTCGCTCTCTGCAGTCGTGACAGAAACTCCACGTGAGGGAATTAAACTTCATCAGGGATTCAGCTCCGCTCGCAGCGGGACGAGCGCAAAAACACACACACACACAGGAAAACACACCCAGACAACACAAAGACACAGATGGGCAATGAAAAGAAGCGCTTGTTCACAAGCTCCCCCCCCACCCCAAAATGAATAAATTTAAAAAATATCATGTGCAGTTTGGATACAAACATGAAGAAAGCAAAGAAAACAACCGTGAGATGAAGGTGTGTCAATGAAAGACGGAGCGATACGAAGTCTTTTCTTCCTCCTGCATGAAAGAGACGTAATTAGCCTTCAGCTCTGAACATTCACCCACCTGCTACCTCTCCTCGCACACTTTAACTCACTGAAACACCTCCCACTCAAATCCTCTCCTCCTCCTCTTGCTTTTCCTTTAGTCTCCCTTCCCATCAACCCCTACCATTCTTGTCTTCCATCTATCCTTCCCTGCTAAAATGGCCGACCTGGAAAAACCCTGGCCCTCAGCAAAAAAATCGCGCCTCTCCTGCAGTGTAGCTGCACACACACACACACACACACACACACACACACACACACACACAC